TTTCAGTAAGTTGAATGCAAGTTTTAACATACTGCATATTATCTGAATGCTTTACCTGCTGTTAAGCATAAGTCTTCGAGAGTTCGGTTATTTCTCGACAAGAGGCGAACATTCTCAGAGCAGCCTCTGCAAATCTTCCGCCATCTTTGTTCTACCTCTTGACCCCAAGCTCACTCGGTCACAATGTTCCTGGCCAATTGCGCGTGATCCCGCGTGCGATCCCTGGAACCACTGTAACCTTGAACGATCTGCAAAGGAGTGATATTCCCATTATTTCTTTTGATATTAGATGGGCAATTGAATTTCATGCAGAAGGCGGCTTCTGCAGATTACTGTAAAGTAAATCTTATTCAGAAAAGCTAACTAAACAAAGTGCCGAGCAACAAGAACCATTTCATTTCATATCTCGAAACTTTATTTCAAAAGTAAGACGTTTTATTACTGACTGCTTTTTCCAAAAAAGAGCAACTACGCAATACAGGGTCCCATTTTGAAGGTGCATAACTTTAGTGGCTTGTTTGGCTCGTCTAGTTCGGCAGTGGATGAAAGAACGAGGAAAAATCTATATATGCGTTAAGTCTTAGCTGTGGCTCGCCTAGATTAGCCAAGACTACCTGCGGGTTCATCTGTCATTATTTTTAAGTTTCTAACTTAATTAGTTTTAATAATAAAGTCTAGACGTAACGCAACTCATTAACCTAAAACTCATGTAAATTATTGAAAAAGAAATAAAGTTTTGTTGTTGTTGTTGCTGTTGTCGTGGTCTTAGGTCTATATATTTCGTGGTTCGTTTAGCTCGGCAGTGGATGACAAAGAAGTAAACGAGCCAAACGAGTAAAAATGATGTAAAAATTTTTAAGGTTGTCTGGTAGGCGGAGTTAAATGCTGGAAGATTGCCTAGGAAGATCCAAAACTTAAATGCTTTCAACATAGCACTGACATAGAGTATAAAATAGAAGAACCATGATCTTAGAAGTTTAGAGGTCTTCACAATATCTTTACACGTACAGTAACAAAATGCTTGAATGTTCTTGACAGTTTTCTATCTTACAAAGCAGGAATAGTAGATCATTATCAGGACTTCAAGACTGGTCAAGACTGCCTAGGTCTTCCCAGTTGGTACTGACCAAAAAGATCGCTGGCCCTACAGACGACGCTGAGGCTTAGGTAGTCATGTGGTCCGAATCACAGGCTAAGATCAAGAAACTATATATAAAAAATGACGTGGGTTAATATTTTTGTGCCTGTTGAAAGAAAATCAAAATTATAACGATTTTGACGTATAAAATTAGGAACTTGGAGTAATCTGGAAATCAGAGTTCAATGATATACAGTCAAACCTGTATTAGGCGGCCCTTGCTGGTGTCCGCTTAATACAGGATGTCCGCTGAAAACAGGTTCCCTCAGAATTCGTCTTAAAAGGGTCATGTCAACATTGATCAGTATTAAAAGACCTTGAAACAGACAAATAGCATTCTCGTGAACGATCGATAACTCTGAAATATCGTATTTCCATAAACAGTATGGCAAGTCCAAATCAAACAAAAACAAAAGTTCTCTAAAAACAAAACCGAATAACAAAATATTGCATTTCTGTGGCAGCTCAGTTTGTTGGCAAACTTTTAAAAATGACCGATCTACTAAAATGTTGACAGAAAAATCATCATTCTTTTTGCAGTGTCCGTTGGATACAGGTTTCTGACAATAGAAATGACCATAAAAGTCAAGTTTAAGCACGGTGTCCGCGTCCGCTTAATAGAGGTGTCCGTTGAATACAGGTATTTTTTACAGTGAATGTGGAAAAAGGAAAATGTGACTTGCACTGCTGTCCGCTTAATAGAGGGTGTCCGCTTAATACAGGTTTGACTGTAGTAAATTTCCTGTCAAAGTCATTGAGGAAAGAACTTTATTCAGTGTTGAAGACTGTGTTATTTCATTTTTAAAATTAACATCATTTTTAAATACAGTGACACCCGGTTTCTGTGAGTACTGGACGCAAGTAAACTGATGGCATTGCTTTTCTTAACAATTTCTAGCTCTTTCTAGCAGTCCTACTTTGACGGGTCAATACTACCACTCTTTATTTTAAGGACTGTTACAATAATGGTGTCAAATAAATGCCCAATCTTTTTACGGCCTCTTAAAAACATCCTTAACTTTAGCTTTAAGAGCTTGTAATTCAAAAAAAGCTCGGTGAAACCTTTTTTATTATTGAATCGTGATAAGCATGATAAGCTACAACTTTCTGCAAAGTTAAAAAAAATTCTATGGGTAGAGTTTAGAGGCACCTTGAATTTTCGAAAAATTGAAGGTGGCAAAATTAAGGGTTTTTTAATAGATCGTATTGTCGCTATGGTAAGCTATTATGTCATAAAGGGGACCGCAATTTGTTCGCCAACAACTGGACGTTTATGTGATACCCGTACTGGGTCTTATTGCAGCAATTCACTTGATATAGACACGTCAAAGCATTGCTGTTAGAAAGAGCTGGAAACTATTACTAGCCACCTAAAATATGCAAAAAGCTTGCACCTGGATTTTTTAAGCGCAATTCGTAACAAAAGGGGAGGGAAAAATTCTAACTGCCCGGCGCTTTGAAAGAGCTTTCCAAAGAGATCTTTTTCGCTTTAATCCTTTCAGTACTTTTCGAGAATCGAAGCAACTTTTCTGAAGAAACAACTTTACTATGCAGCAGCCATGGCGCCTCAAGAAAACTGTGGATAAGCACATCGAAGATAATTTTCCTGTCCAGCGCTTAGAAAATGCTTTCCAAAGAGACCTCTCTTGATCCAAACGGTTCGGTAGTTCCGCGGTAGTTCCAGTTTTTTCGCCTTGGACATGCAAACTCTAATTCAATGTACAACACTTTCGAAGCCAAATTTTTAACAAACGGCAAACAAATATTTTAGCTGTCCTGCGCTTTGAAAAACCTTTCGAAGGAGATGTTTTTCGCTTCAATCTATTCAGAACTTTTCGAGAAACGACTTTCGAGCGGGTTAAAATAGAAGTCTCCAGGGAGTGACACGACTTCTATTTTCGAAGTTAACTTCGAAGAGCACGTAGAAGATAATTTTCCTGTCCAGCGCTTTGAAAATGACTTTTATATAGTATGTAGTGCAAAACAAACTGATCATCTTTTCTCTTAACCCGATTGATTTTCAGTTCAATTTTGGCTGCGCAATCATGGGACCAAGACTATAAATAACGTTCTCGGCTTGACACGAAGCTTAAAATAGATTGAAAATATTGTCATGGGGCACAGGAATGTGTTCTCTTAGATCACAGTCTCTTGAGAAAACTGATATGATCAGGTGACGGGTCCAAAACAATGGGCTTATCTCAGTTCAATGAGCTCCTAGATAAGCTAGCATCAAAATTCGCACGATCGTTGTTTACTACTGCTTAGTCTGCTTACATGCTATCTTCTGTCTACTTCTATTGTTTTAGAAATAAGATTCTATAAAGGGTAGTAGTTCATATTTTGACGCAAGTCTGACCGAACAACATGAAGACTGATTGCGAACTAAATAACTTGACATCGAAGAGTATAGAATTATCTTTGTTTACAGTATTTGCCTCGATTATTAGCATAAGCGATAAAGTTTCTGATAGAGCCACAAAAATATTAGTTCTGAAGATTGAAAGGGCACAGCACGACCCCAAGGAATTTGAGTTCGATGTATTGAGTACTTTTTGAGCGACGCGAGTTTTAAAACTTAAAATTTTACAAAGAATGTATGAGTTCATTAGTGCTTTTACCAACCAGAAATTTCCCAGTTTTTGAAAGCCAATTTAACACCCAAAAAGTAAAAAATTTCACCAATTATTAAGTTTCACAAGCTGTTCAAATGTTTGTAGTCAATTCGTGTCTAGCGTGATGATATGCTTTCTCTGCGCAAAGGAGGAAAAATGTAATAAACGTCCTGTCGATTTTCTAATATCGACGAATTCCAATTAAAGAGGCCGACAGGATCCCCCTTTTTTTTCTGTCAGGCCTTTACGTCAAGACCTGACCTACGTATTTGGTTAAGGGTAGAATGCTAATCATAATTCTATGTACATTGAACATGTTGATTGGTTCTTCAGTGCAGCTACAGTGCTCGTCATATCTTATCTGATACTTCCTCTTCTTTGTTTTAGCTTGCCGTTTTGTCTGGGCATGCGAAGCTTTCCCAGGCCTTTGTTTATGAACAATTAATTAAGTTTACACCATCTTACAACTCTGCCAAAACAGTCAAAACAAGTTCGTGCAGTAAAGGCCTTTCTCTGTAAACGTAGGCTGCATACTTCTACATCTTAATCTTTATTTACAATTACATTGAGTTGTTACACCAAGTTTCTTGTAAGTAACACATCGTTTCAAGGCAGATTTCTACGAACTATAATTACTTTTTTGTGTGCTTGAACAGAAACGAAACCGGTAGCAGGTGGCATTTTCTAGGAAGCTGCGGGGTCAGTACTCAGCTGAGACGAAAACAAAGCATAAAATTCCAATTTAGGGAAGTGAAACCGAAACAGCTTGTAACAAGAAGAGACGGAAGTCCAATTGAATTCTTCGTCGATGGAAAGAAACGATTGAAACAGCCAGTCCTTGGTTTTATATATATACCTTACTGGAAAACTTTTTATATAAATTATATCTACACAGTTGGAATAAAATACATATTTTTACTGCTCAAAATATTGTTGCCTTTGAGAGATTTTTCATTAATTCTAGCCTGTCTATTCCTAGAACACAACACACAGACTATGTGATGTTACCTTTTTACAAAATGAACGATTTTGTCTTATATACACTGGAAAATTATTATTATAATCAGTAATTTATTCATGAAAGATCATAAACAAAATTAATTCACACAAGCCGCTCGATACTTCACACAAGCCACTCAGAACATTCTTTCCTATAACTCTTTCTTCGTTTTTCGCGAAGGGTCAAGAACTACGGTGTTAAATTTAGACATTTGAAACACGTATAACGATGTAAAATTTGCGTTATTTTAAATTGGGTATGGGTATTGTGATAAATACAGCTTTACTGTGTTTGGAACAGCTGGTAAATCTTTGATTCCTTTGGCGAGGAGTTGGTTGTTCAAAGCTTTACGGCACAAGTGCTGTAAACTTGAAACTTCCTTATAAAGTGGACTCCACAAGAGAAATTTCGCCGTTCGTGTGTTCTCCAAAGTTTCCGAAGGATCCCCTTGTAAGAGCTTTCTTGTAACGAGCATATAGTAGAATACCATTTTCACCACACAGTCAAATCTGGGAGTAGAACGATGCTGGAGTTCCTCGCTGTTCCTTTTTGTCGTGTAAGTGTCTTTTTTATCCAGAGAGTAAAGTCCTTCGCACAGAACAATTCGAACGTTTGTGATCCCGGTCGCGGTTACCAAGGTTATCGTGAATAAATGTCTCGCGTCCGAACTATCGCGGACGAGAAATTTTCCAGTAGGCTGGTCTCGCAGTAAAGCTTTCGCTTTTAAGGCACTGATTGCGCCCCAATAAAATCCACTTTTCTCCAACTTTTTGATAGTCGCGTCTAAACTCGAAACTGTTGTGTTAATAACAGCACACATCGATTCGTACACTGTAGAATGGAAGTCAGTTCTCCACTAGTTAGCACGCCATCGTTTGTACCTCGTATTTTTTTTTATGCATGGCTGTCTTTTAGCTAATCGCTTGAAAATTATCGCGAGTTGTTTCTTTCTCAAAACCTGCCAACTTTGCTTCGTTGATACCATGTCGTAATCGTATTTATATCAGAACTATCGAACGTTTTCCGGGAAATGCTTCTTCCTGGAGGTAAGCTGTTTCAAGGAAAACCGGAAGTGACAATTGCCCTGCAAGCATATTGCATATTACAGAACATTTCTAGGAAAGGCAAAGGCACTTGATATCAAATCTGCAGAGTTAAACGTTCAAACTAAACAACAGTAGCTCATTTTGGGGGCTTACTTTTAGAGAGAACAGCTCTAGCTCCTTAAATTTTCACAGATTGTCATGGAGAACCGAAAATCGCGACGACGTCAATTAGACGTCCACGGCCGGCTGCACAGGAACACGAAAAAAATTGCATCAGCTTTTTGTGTCGATAATTATTTTGATTTCAATTCGCTCAGTTTTCAAAGAAACTGCAACGAATCTAAGAGGTATAAATGACTGCTTGAACTTAGAATAGGATTAAATTTGTTAGTTTAAGGTTGTTCCCCGAAAAATCCTGATGTTAAAAATTGCCATGAATTGCTTATTGCATTAAATGGTGCTTATCGCGTTGCGACAGTAAAGAGCTAGTCTCCCCTACATTAATTTTCCCTTGTATTAGTACAGCGTTATTTAAAAATTGTAATACTTCTTGAATTTTTTGTCTTGGATTTTCTGCCCTCCCTTTCTCCAGGCGAAAATCCAGAATAAAGACACGTAAATATAAAACGTGTTTTACATCACAGTTTCTAAGCGAGCGATTTCGAAACACCGGAAACACACCCTGCAGCACGTACACAAACTGAACAAAGAGAGTGAAAAACGTTTCCAATCTCATGTCTTTCTAGAGGTTTCGTCCATTTGGTAGGTAGTTCTTCGCCAAATAAAAACAGAAATTACCATCGAAACCATGGGCTCAAATCAAGCATGAGATGTTGAATAGGAAATGATGAATTCGTTTTTCCTAGAAAAAAAAAAGTGAGTAGAGACAATAACTTGATCCAAGGTTCTGAGTTTCCGAGAAATCGTCACGAACTCCTTGCTAGGCAGGCAACGGAACGGAGAATCAAACCCAGTCTACCTCGTATAAGCCTGACAAAATTCACAACAAATAACAGCCTTAAAAAAATTCGATATGTTGTTTAATTCCTTTTGTTGTTATGTACAAAATCACCCTTTATAATAAAACGCCAAAGGATGATGAGAAATCTAAAACGAACCTGAGAAAGACTGAAATGGTTCAATAATAATTTTCACTGAAAAAGGTTGTGCTAAATTCTTACAGACTACCTAGAGCACAGCATGACTTATCTTTTTTCCATATTTTTCCGAGTATTTTCTGCTAAATTCAAACAGTGTCATCCAATCGATTATTTTCCTAATTCTCATCATAGTTCACAGAGGAGCATGGTTATGAAGCACGGCAGATTTCAAAGGAGCAAACTGTGAAAAACTACGTGTTCCAAGATTTATGTTTGAAGGAGCGCGACCATGCAAAATCTTTTGTTTCGCGCTCATAAACTATGCTTGGTTTCCATTGGCTAGTTCTTCTTCGTGTTTGTACACGGTCAAGGCCAAAAAAGCGAACAAAGACATACAGCAAAGAACTCTGGCCCCGTCCACACGGGGAATTTGAAAACGAAGGTTTCGTTCTGAAATCGCATCAAATGTTTCCCGTCTACACGCAACAATAAGCGGTCGTTTTGGATTTATGTTTGAAGAGAACTCACATGATTATTGAAGGTTGTTCAGGTAGAAAAGACTGACAGCGTTTTTGAATGACATAAGGAGTACTCCCCTGCGAATGACCACCCCCCCCCCCCC